TCTGGTTTCGTGCTCAAATTTTTTTAGGCTTTTGAAGAGGTTTGACTCCTTGACGACTAAACGATGAGGGAACGGTCCAGATTAGTCTAACCTTGCACCTAAATCTCTTATCTTTACACTAACTCGGGCCCCAACAAGAAAATATATATGATTTTTGAGTTAGTTTTTACTTAATTATTCACTTATTTATTGATATTAGATTGAGAATTCCAAAATCAAAATCTTTTAGGATCTAAAAATATTTTTATATTTATAATTTTAAGATCAAGGAAGCATCGTATCTGTTGTGGACCTTTAAGAGTGTTGGGGTTTTCCTAACTCTTAAGCTAAAATTTGTACTTAATTTTGGTTTTGTACCTTAAAATGTAGTGTACGGCTTCGAATTTGTGACGTGCATTAGCAATAAAAGAAAAATTGAAGTAAATAGTGGGCTATAACCTTCAAAAAGCCAATAATATAAATAAGAAAAGCTAAAGTATATGAATACGTTAAAAGATGTGAGTAACGCATGCAATTAAATAAATGAAAACAATAATATATTATTTAAAGGTGCCAAACCATTGTCACTTGTTGTCCACTAGTTAAAAGAATCTAGGTGGCCATCATTTAAACGCTGCACTCAAATTTTGCAGCTTAATTACACTTTATCTTAAATTAATTAGCATTAATATTTTAGCGGAGAAAAACGATCTCGTAACTAGTTGTATATGACCAGTTTTGTGTTTATATTTTCATTGCGTAATTAATCAAATAATAAGGGAAATATACACATTATTGTAAGAAAACTTAGATATATGAGTGGGCTTTCATTTTTCTCTAGCTATCTCTACCTCTATTCCTCATGTGTGGCTAATCACATGAGAAGACTCATTGAGACTTCGGTGCAAATGTGATCTTATTCATGTGTAAGATGGTTTCAACTTTTCACTCATCTATTTTTAGAAAAGAGTATACATATCGTTTCGTGGAAGTTCTAAAGAACATATTCGTGGGAGGGATTTTTTTTTTGGTGGATCACTTCGAAACCCTTTTGGAGGAGCTATAACTTCAAAACCACGAACCCTAATTACATTTATACAAGTTCTACTTTTTACCAATCGCATGCGCAGAATTGGAAATTTTATATATTGTACATGTGAAGCTTTAAACAACAGTGGGTTCTCCTTTTAAGAGGCAAGAAAGAAGAGAAAATATTAATTTTTTGACACTATAAAAAGGAGAAACACTGAGAAATTAGTGTTAGGGTTTGGCATTACTTAAAAAAAGGTAAGGACCAAAACCCAAGTATAGGGAAGGGAACTTAGGGAAGAAGCAAAAGCAACGCCAGCAGCGTAGGTGGAAGAGGCACTACTTTTAAGAGGGTATCTCTCACAAAATTTTTGTCTTTAGGAAAAAATGCACTTGCTTAAATTTCTAATCATCTCTAAGTTGATAGTTTAATTTAGAGTTGTTATTGACATGCTAAAAATTATCATACACTTCTTTTATATATTACACATTAAAAAGAGAAAGAGTATTAGCAACCTTCTTATTTGGACATTTGCCTTTTACATTTTCGGCTCTCCTCATTAATACATTGTTGCTTGATGATCGAAATCGTTTACTTTTTAGATTACCTTTTAGAGATTGTATACGTAAAAATTAAACTAAACCCGAATCGTTTTTTCTTTTTTTTTGTCAAAAAACCCGAAATAGTTATTCAATAAATAGACGAATTAATTCACTTAAACACTAAACTTTCCAATGTTAATTGCAAAGTTAAAAGATTTTTTATTTGGTTTTTTTTTTTTTTTTTGGCAGAGTTGATCTTTAGAGGGTGATTTAGAAAGTGTATGGTTGTGGTCATCAAACTGCAGAATGAGAAGGAGATTCACAAAAATAGAACGCAAGAGCTCAAGTGAGAAGGTTACAAACATTCGAAATAGAGAACATGATGACTATTTTTTTAATACTAATTGATACCAATTTGCTAATTCATTTACCTAACACTCACTTAATATAAAAAAAGTCAAAACTCATTGCCTTTTTTGGTGTTCTTGTCTTCAATGTCTTAGGAAGTAGGAACTTAAAATACGACTTGCTAAATAGTGGGATGATGCAAGGATTTTCTGGATAGAGATTAGTGTTGTGATATGCCTTATATAGAGTGTAACTTTGATGCTGATCCAGGCACAAGCTCACCCTTAGCCAACTCCATTCCCTGACTAGAAGGCTCACCTAGTTAGGGATGAAAACTGTACTCGTTAAATTTGTTTTGCGTGGTTACCCAGTCATTTGAGGACAATTTGGATGTGGTTATTTATAGTATAGAGATGTATATGAAGAAACTAAAACTATCCGACACGGTTTTGAATATAATTAGGAAGATAAAAGTATCGTATCCATAGCCACCCCCAAATCGCTCCCTTTTTTGTTTTCCAATACATTATATGCTTTGTATATTAAATGATGAAGAATTTTCATCAACTACAAGAATAAATCATTTTATTAATGTAATGGAGTAGTTGTTCTAAATTCTAGAACATAGCAAAACTAACCTTGTCTAGCAAACTTACAAGGCTGGTTAAGAAGTACAACAGATTTCATACGGCTGCGCTACAACTGGAGATAAAATTCATGTTCTATCGGATAGATAAAAGTACATTCACAAATTTCAAAGGATTCACTCAATTTTACAAGTCTTTGAACCCATATACAACCTTGAAAATTTCCGCTCGACTTCATCATTAATTTTTCATTAAGATCACAAGAATCAATTGTCAACTTATTCAAAACCTTGCCATGATTCAACAAGTACTCGGCCGCCTCCAACTTATCTGGTCGCCCCTTGAATCCTCGTGTGCAAATAGTCCTGAGGCATCTAGTGTCAACATAGGATGATGCTCACAGGGGCATTGAGCATGTTTGTTAGTGATTTCCAAGCGTAGCATACTGAAAGATGTAGCTCCAAGCAGTTCAAATTATTAAATGTAGGCAAAGGAACATCGATATTCAAGATATTTCAGTTTGGACGATACCTTGAGCGCGTTTATTAGTGATTTCCAAGCGTGGCATACTGAAAGACGTGTAGGCAAAGTACATTGATATTTGATATGAGAATCCCCTAAAAACGAAGCTGAAAGGAACAAATACTTGACATCGAAGATTTCTGTCAAAATCCTATGTTTTTTATCAACATTAACACGGGCAAAACCCTACCTGCCATAGGAGCCTTCAGTTTCTTCAAGGAATAGCATCCATAAAGTTCTCTTCAGATCCAACTTCTCGACATCAGCAACAATACAAAGCTTCTCCACATCCTCTACTTCCATACGAACATCGTCCAAACTTATTTGTAGTCTTTTCAGTTCAGGTGCATTGACAATTATGTTTACGGTTGAACCATCCTTAGGCATATATAGCAAAATGTCCATCTATAATCAAATCTTCAAGCGCAGGGCGACATGAAAAGCGCTTCTTGATTGGGTCAAGAAATTAGTCAAGAAGGTAAGGTATTGTAACATGGAGGTACTTGAGCCTCGGGAAACAATTTGAGGTAGGACTGTAGGACTGCAGCAACGGAAACATGAAGTTGAAGGTCGAGTTCAACAACATTACCCCCAGTGGCAGTGCAAATCCAAGCATCAATACGATCAAAATAATCCTCTATTCTGCGACAATGATGAACTTTATGCATGTTTGACAACCAAGGAAGAGAAGTACTTGATCTACAAATCCAGTGGTACCACCCTTATCATATCCTGTGAAACACAAGTAGGGCTAAATTCGGACCAGAAGTCGACGTATGTTTCCATCTGTGTGATAAAACACAGGTCCTTACAACATATCTTGTAGGAAAGAATGTGGCCAAGAGAATATCATCCAGTAAATCACTGATCCTATCTCTAGTGCATGCTTTCCGGCGCTTTGACTTTGATTTCGAACCCATTTGCAATTTATACGATGTGGTTTCCGAGAAACACGTGTTACCGATAAAAGTTCAAAAACCATGTAATTTTGACGATTAACAAGCATTTTATGAGGGTTTAAGTATCCATAGAAAATTATACATTATATATATATGGGGGTAAAATATACACTTGAAATTCAGTAAGAAGTCCCCTAATCTCCTAACCTACAATAAAACCTAATTACTAGTTGGATTAGTTCTAATTCAACAACAAACAACCAGCCTCGTTGAATTTAAGGTTTTAGCAAATCAGGGTTTTCTTGGTATCCAAACAATCCAAAAAATATATAATATTATAGTTAAACAGTGAAAATATGTGAGTAAAAGGGTAAAATACTTACCAGATACGGCGTGTCAGTAAATCCTGTTTGGCAGCTGCGAAAAAGAAAAAAAAGGGAAGATGTTATAGTGTGACTTAACATTCTCGAGTTGTTTTAGGTTCGAATTTCGTGGATGACGAATTCGATACCAAATTAGGATGCCCATCGTGTGACTTAGCTGAACTCGCCATTCTTTTAGTGTAAAAATATCAATATACTCACACACAAAAATAAAAATAAAATAAAATAAAAAATCTCGAGTCCGTATTAATTATTTGGGCCGAAACAAGGCCCAGTCTTACCAATCCTCACATTTGGGCTGGGCCTCACAGCTTTGAAAAACGACAACCAACCCAACGACCCAGCTGCCAGTAGACCACTATCCAAATAAACGATATTGCGCCGAAATCAAGAGTCACTTGTAGCCTCTTTTGATAGCTCGGACTGTAGTGACTATTTTTATCAGATAAGATAACTAGTCATCGGGTAGTATTGACTAAACTAGTTTGGCGTTTGGTGCAATATCGAACTAATGATTGTATTATTTACACTGTGTTTGGTACTGAACCAGATAAGAAAAGGGAAGAAAAAAAAAAATTGACAAATCTTTGTTTGTTGAACTTTTCTCATATTTATACCTATTGAAAACCACACAAATTTTCAAATAACAAAGAAAAATAGTAAATTCTATACATCAAATTCAAAATATTTTCCAATAACATAAAAGAATATTCACAAAATACAACTACAGTCGTTACGTTATATAGATTTATCCAACCACACATCCAAGTTCACAAAATATACAAATGCAAGTTGGTTTCAGTGAGAAACAGTTTGTCCAAATAGCCAAATTATATGTATGCTGCTGCTTTGCTTTTAGTAAGAAGCAATTTGTCCAAGTACCCAAAATATATACATGTTGCAGCTTTTAACAAAAGATATGCATGCTGCTTTTAACAAAATATATTGTTGTTGTTTTCCAATGTCAATTGTGGTTACTTTGTCCAAGTAACATGAGTATGAATGATTTTTTCATTGCACCATCCAACGACAAGAATGTCCTCTCATTCTGTGGCTTTTCGAAAATGATATTCAATGCCTTGATTTGATCCTCAATAGACAAATCCATCTTTGACAATTCTGAAGCAATTTCAGGTTTTGGATCCACTCCTTTCCCAAAAGCAGCTTGTAAAACTTCACCCAACTTCTCAATTGATTCAGAAAGCATTTCTTTAAATGTCACAGCAATATCATTATCATTAGCAGCTGACCTCTTCCTTTTCTTGGTACTTGAATTTCTAAGTGCAAGTTGCTGATTCCGCCTTCTAGCTGAATTATGATTCATCGTGAACCACATCATCAACCAAGTCACAATATTCAAGTACCACAACTTAACAATGAAGCAAGCCACAATCTTTCTTTCATCCATGCCTAGTGAAAATATAAAATAACATTATTAGATAGTGACAAATAATTAAGTAACTGAAGCGTGACATTATACATGTAAGTAAGGACATAAGAAGGATACAAGAAGACATGATTAATGGCTAATTAGGAAATTGTTATTGGCACTTCAAAAATCTCATTTTACATTCCAAACGTACTATCTTTGGAAAGAAAAATACAATTGTGAGGAGTGTAGAATGAGATTTTTGGACTGCCAATAACATTTCCTGCTAATTAAAGCAAAAATGCATAATTAACACTAAAAACGGAATAGCATGAGAACTCATCAACCAAAACCAGGATGCACATTTCATACTTCAAAATGAGTTTCTCTTTATTCATCAAAGTGAAACCAAATCATAAGAAATGGGAAATGCAAGCAAATAACATCAATAACAATCAAAGCAATAGCATCAATTAATCAAACATATCTATAAATCCCCAAAAACCCAGACAGAATTCTGCATGGAATTAAACAAACCCATCAAGCAAAAAGATGAAACCATTGCTGCACTGACTAAGCAGTCCCAATCATGCTCTTTTGGCTGCAGAGCAATCAGATGAACAAAGTAGAAAAAGGGAAAGTTTTTTATTTTAATGTGATACAAAAAGAAAGTTTAATGCTTCAAAAACAGTAAGCACAGGAAAATGTATAGCTTAGGTCCAGAATTTCCCCCCATCGATTTTCTCAGCAACCAAACAGACCCTCAAAACTCAAACCAAAATATACCCAGATTACAGAATCACATATTCCACCGACTTTCACATTTGAAATCATAGAAAGAAAATGAAATGTGTTCCAAGCTCAAATTTTTATGTGAAAAAACTTGGAGGAAGAAGAAGCAGCGAAAAGATCATATTTTTATGGAGCTAAGTGTGATAGGAACCGAAAGCTACAACGAATACTGCTGGTGTTCATGAAGAATCTAAAATTCCACACCCAATCCCAAGTACTAAACAATATACTGATATGGATGAAAGTTCAACACCAACAACAAATCTAAAATTCGACCCCAACAGCTAACCCTAAAATTCGAAAATTCTAATTAAAACACAAAATTACATAATCAATTGCATAATTAGAGAGAAAACAATAACTAGATTCAATCAATTGAAAAAAATTGCAAGAAAAATAGAAGTAGGGGGAAGAACAGAGTGGGAAGAAGAAGAAAAATGAGAAGATGAACTGGGATTCAAACGAAGAAGAAGGCGTTTGAGAAGACTAACTGGGATTCACGAGAGAGCAGGCGCGCGAGAGGCAGAGAGAGCGGCTGTAGAGGACTGAGAGTGCGTCTGGAGAGGAACGAGAGAGCAAGAGACTTCACCTGACTAAATCGTGGTTTTGGAGGGAATAAGCAAGCAGATCTTTACCGTATAAAGTAGGTAGGTGGACCCGGATTATTTTAATCCGGGCTATTTAATACAAATGGACATCAAACACCGTATTTCGTTATTAGTACTATACGGTGCCGGTGTGCCAAACGAGGGTATGGTGTAGTTCACGAAGCCTCTTTCCTTCGTCTTCTCCCTGGTTCCGAGCCTGCTTTGTTGTAGTGGCTAGTGAGTTGCCTGAAACACTGAGAGCTGCTTTCCGCCTCTTTGGCTGCGGTCCGAGAAATGGGGAAGAAGATGAAGAAGCCGGGAAAGGGCAAAGAGAAGACGGAGAAGAAAACGGCGAAAGCTGAGGAGAAGAGAGCTCGCAGAGAGACCAAGAAGCTCTCTCCCGAGGACGACATCGATGCCATTTTGGTAATCTCGTTCTCTCCATATATGTAGATGTGTGTGTATATATGTGTATTGGGTGCTTGTTATTTGGAGTTATGGAACATCTGAGAACAGCTGAAATAGTTTCTGGGAGTTTAAAGCCGATTAAGTTATTGGGTTTTTGATATACGAAGCTGAAGTTTTTGAATTCGGGTTTTCAGTTAAAAATGTATATGTGTGTGTGTGTGTGTGTTTGGTGCTTGTTACTTAGTGTTATGGATCATTTGAGTACAGCTGAAAAGCCTGAAATAGCTTCTGGGGGAGTTTAAAGCCGATTAAGTTATTGGGTTTTTGATTTTCGGAGCTGAAGTTTTTGAATTCGGGTTTTCAGTTAAAAATGTATGTGTATATGTGTGTGTGTGTGTGGTGCTTGTTACTTAGTGTTATGGATCATTTGAGAACAGCTGAAAAGCCTGAAATAGCTTCTGGGAGTTTTAGACTAATTGGGTTATTGGGTTTTCGATATTTATAGTTAAATTTCAAATTTGGTTTTTCTGGGAAAGTTTGGATAGATGAGGGTGTGAGATTATATTTTGTGGGACATCAGTTCAGCCATTTATGGAGTGTTTTTTGTGCAGAAACAAAATGATGTTTTGATTTTGACAGAAATATTTTGTATGGAAAGTGTTTTGTTGTTTCTGGAGTTCATACATTGATGTTAATCAGACTAAGTTTTACTTTTTATATGGACATGTAGAAAAGATTCAATTTTAAGTCATTTAATATGCATTTTTTTACAGTCAAGTAAACAAAAGGAAGAAGCTAAGAAGAAGGAAGTTCATGAAGAGGAAAATGCCCCAGCTCCCTCTCCGAGGTCCAACTGCACGGTATGACCCGTGCTTGTGTTTGTTAGAAATTTCTGTTGAGTGGGTTAGTCTTAGTTTTGTTTGAGAAGGTATGTGTGCATTACCCTTTGTTAATCTCAAATTTTTGTGCTTGATGATTGTGTAGCTGAGCATCAATCCCTTGAAAGAGACAGAGTTGATCCTTTATGGGGGTGAATTCTACAATGGTAATAAGGTTAGATTTTGATCTTTTTCAAGAAATCTATGTGCTTTATTTGAAGTTTTAACCTAAATGGATTTTTTCTTTCCCTAGTATTTCACCTGATTTTTGTTAATTTTTTTTGCTGCAGACATTTGTGTATGGTGATCTTTACCGCTATGATGTTGAAAAGCAGGACTGGAAGTTAATTTCGAGCCCCAATAGTCCACCTCCTTGTAGTGCCCACCAGGCGGTCATTTGGAAGAACTATCTCTACATCTTTGGTATACTGACAACACTTCCATTCATATGTACAAACATAGCACTTGCACTTCTAACTCTTTTGCATCATGAACATGATTGCATTTGTTTGTCATTAGGTGGTGAGTTTACTTCCCCAAACCAAGAGAGGTTCCATCACTACAAGGTGAAACCTGTTTAAAATATAGTTTTGTAAAATCGGCTTTCACTGTTTAAACTACCTATCAACCTAGTTTATGTTATCATAATGTTACCTTTTTTTTTTTCCCTGCTATAGGACTTTTGGATGTTGGACCTCAAAACAAATCAATGGGAACAGCTAAATCTAAAAGGGAGTCCAAGTCCACGCTCGGGTCATCGGATGGTAAATTCAGGTTACTTTAGATTGGTGTTCTCATTAATTAATTAGAATGGGCTACGGAGTTTAACTGTCTAATTTCCATGTACCTTTATGTGTGTGCGTGTGCCCGCACTGAGACACTAACAAGAAAAGATTAGTCCAATCTAACTTTCATATACAATTTTTTGAATATTTTTAAGGAGATTTTTTTATAAACATCTATACTTTTGGTCATGATACAGGTACTGAGAAGTGAGGTTGTTAATGGAATTTTATAAACATTTTGAAAGTTTCATAGTTATTTACCTCATTATTTTGTGTTGATTTTCTATGGCGAGCTCAGATGCAAATCACTATATGGAATTTAGTTGCCAAGTTGGTTTTATTGCATCTCTGTTCTTTCTGAAGTTTTCTTTACATATTAACTATCCAAACCAGATTTATTGTTGCTGACAATCGGTGTGTGGTGCTAATGTGGAGCTGAACATAATAATTTGTTGTGCAGGTATCACAATGATCTCTTTGTATTTGACCTGGATCAGTTCAAGGTAGAGATCTTGTCTCTGTTGTGTTAATCTACTATTATAAATTTGTGCGCGTTTATATATGTACATATATGTTTAACTAATGCTTTTGCAATGTTGCATTTCAGTGGCAAGAAATAACTCCTAGGCCTGGTTCCTTGTGGCCAAGTGCCCGAAGTGGTTTTCAGTTTTTTGTGTACCAAGATGAAGTGAGTGATTTAGAATGGTTTCATGTATATCATGTCTTGACTTGCTCAAAAATTTGACCTTGTGGTCCCTTTTTGACATGACAGATTTTCTTATATGGTGGCTATTCCAAAGAAGTTTCATCTGATAAAACTGGCTCCGAGAAAGGAATTGTTCATTCAGACTTGTGGTCCCTTGATCCTAGGACTTGGGAATGGAACTAGGTTCTTACTTCACACCACTGTTTTCTTTTATTACTGTGTATTTATCAATAAATTGAACAAGACATGATTGTCCGACCTCAAGTTTTACTTCCCCTTCTACACTCAGATATTGAATATTTTTCTGTGCAAAATGGACCTGTTATACTACTTTTGAATAGATTAACAGGTACGCAGGTTTTACTACATCGTAGATGCTATGCCGTGGTTGTGTTATCATTCTGAAGCTTTTTGTATACTGATCACTGTATTTATATTTTCGTTTCATGCATATTTGATGATGAGTAGCAACTTACATTTATCAGCTTGTGGTTTGAGATCTTTTTAATAACTGAAACACATATTGTAGGTGAAGAAAAATGGGATGCCTCCTGGACCTCATGCTGGGTTTTCTATGTGTGTTCATAAGAAGCGAGCTATGCTCTTTGGAGGTGTGGTGGACATGGAAGTTGGAGGTTAGCTTTTTGTGTTCTACCTATCTTATTTCGCTAGGCAATACAGTCCTGGCTTGAAGCTACAACTGGCCCTTGGAGGGTAGGTGGATTTATTTTCCTTTTTAATTTCTGGATGCAAGCAGGTGATGTAATGATGAGCTTGTTCTTGGACGAACTGTATGGCTTCCAATTAGACAACCATCGGTGGTAAGCTCCACCTCAGTTTTTAATTTTATTTTTCAATTTTACAGTTTGAGATTATTGTACAATCAGCTGCAAGTAATTTGTTTTTATTTTTTTATTTTGAAAGATCAATTAGCATTTTGCTGCACTCTAGTGTGATAAATAGTATTTTCCTCCTGACCCATTTTATTTATTGTTTCTTTCCCAATTTTCTGATGAGCAAGGTTTTGTTGTGTTATAGGCAATGAACTTTAAATGTGCAATAGTTCCTTCCCATTTGATAAGTGCAATTTTTTTTTGTATAGGTACCCATTAGAGCTACGGAAGGCGAAGTCAACAAAAGATAAGGTGTTATAACCATTCATAACTAGAATATGTACTGATTTCAATGTTGTATAGATGCTTTTGCTCATTGAACTTTCACACTTTATTAATAAATAATATGGAAGCAATTCATTTTAGATCCCATTGTTTTAGTAACATATAGCTTCCCTTGTGTTCATTTTTGCAGCCTAAAAAGAGTTCTGGATGAAAGCGTAAAAATGATGATAAGATAAACTCAATTGAACCAGAGGAATGTGCTACGAATGAAAAAGATGAGAACTCTGAGAATGATGAAGCAGCAGATGACTTCGAACGCAAGGTTGACGGTATATGGCATCAAATGGCTAAAACCATTACTGTTGGTAATGATCGGTTAGCTGACAAATCTGATGGAAAGATACATGAATCTACTGCTAATATGGATACACGAGACAATTCTGATGGAAAGATACATGAATCTACTGCTAATTGGATCCACGAGATTCTGATTTGCCAGAGGTTTTCTATGCTGAATATGTTTATGTTTTTGTTTATCTTTTCTCAAACATTTTAGATTCATCCATTTGATTCATGGATTTGGTTAATTTATTAGGTAGTGAAGCCCTGTGGACGTATCAATTCTTGCATGGTTGTTGGAAGAGATACATTATATGTTTACAGGGGAATGATGGAGGTTAAAGATCGAGAAATTACACTCGATGATTTGTATTCTCTAAATCTTAGCAAACTTGACGAGTGGAAGTGCATCATACCGGTTTGTAACCGATTGTCTCTTCAGATAATTGCTTGTATCATCCCGTTCTCTTAGCATCACTAGACATAGCCATTACTGTTGTAGGCTTTGTTTTATAAATAAGCTGGAACAGCTCGGTATCTTTTCTTTTGTTGAATTTCATCATTTTAAGCCTGAAGTCTGCTTTTCCCTTTACCCAGGCAACAGAAACTGAATGGGTGGAGGCTTCCGAGGATGAAGATGAGGATGAAGATGACGATGATGATAGTGAAGATGAAGGTAATGAAGATAGTAACAGTGATGAGACCGATGATGATAATGATGAAGAGGTTCTTTACGTACTCCATAGTGTAGATGTGTTTTTCCATTTTTAATAATTAATGCATCCTGATTTTGTGGTTAAGATAACACTAACCATACCATTTCGTGACCTTTTACACGAAGTTTTGAATGAGTCCAATTACAAGATTTTATTCAGTCAGCTATTTTTTTTACTTCTCTCTACAGCTAACTCAATTTTGAAGCGAAGGATTCTTAATTTAGTGCTGCATACATCCTTGTTAATTACTATTAAAAATCTAGTAAAATTATGAGTCCAGTTACAAGATTTTATTTTGATCCTTTATATATTTTTGGTTGAGCTGGTTCATGACAAGGATTTCTTTTGCCATCTGCCTTGAATTTTCCTATTTTTGCATGAAGACTGTTGCACTGTTGCTTTCTAAGGAGGAAAATATTGAGCTCAGTCTTCACCTTTTCGTGTGTGCAGAGTGGGAAAGATGGATCAATTCAGATGGGGGATGCTGTTGCTTTAATCAAGGGTGATGGAAAGAGTCTCCGTAGGAAAGAGAAACGGGCCAGAATTGAGCAGATCAGAGCCAGTCTTGGCCTTTCAGATTCGCAAAGAACCCCAACGGTACTTTATTCTTTCTTTACTTGCTATTGAAAGTTTTGAGCCATTCTTTACACTGTCCGTGAAAGCTTAAGTCGGTTGTTTTGTGCATTTTCTTCATCACATCACTACAGCTAATATTGTAGTATGTCTTGTGTGAAGCCTGGTGAAACTTTGAGAGAATTCTACAACCGTACATATATGTACTGGCAAATGGCGGCACATGAACATACTCAACACACTGGAAAGCTCCGTTTCTTCCTTTTCCTCAAAAGAGAAAAAACCCTTAAATTAATAGTTATCAAGGACCAAATGAGTAGATAGTGAACGTCAAAACAAAGAAGCAACTATAGGCTGCATACGGAGGAGAAGAAACTTCCTAATCCTGCTGTTCTGATATTTTGTTTTCTTGTGCATGTTATGTGCATGGTGTGTGTCCTTGGCATCGCAGGAGCTCCGTAAGGACGGTTTTGATCTTGCTGAAGCGCGATACGGAGAGCTTAAACCAATTCTCGATGAGGTGACATTTTGGTTTTGCATCTCAAGGTTTATACAAGGCTTCTTCCTGAAACCGAACGGATTAAGTTATCTTCTTTTGTTTCATATTCTTATTCTTCTGTGTGTGATGCAGTTAGCCATATTAGAGGCAAAACAGAAGGCTGAGGAGCAAGAACCGGAAACTAGTACCAAAAAAAGAGGCAAGAAGAAAAGATAAGCTGTTCACTACGGTGTACACACAGTACTGCTATATTGAGTGTATTTCAAGATAGTTGTAAAATTTTGATCAAAAACAGAATTACCGTAATTACTGTTTTTCACATAAATTTTATGTAAGTTTGCGGTTTTGCCTCATTTTTTCACCACATTTCATTTTATGCTTTTTGACATCCTTCAATTTCATGACCATGCTCAAAGTGCTTCCGAAAAAAGTAACAGCAGATAAGTTAAAAAGAATCACATTTGATCTTGCTCTCAATATTCTTGAATGCATTGCAATTTGCATGCAAGGCTCTATGGAAGAAGTACACTAGTTCCACATTATGATACTTAATATATGTACACAAGTTATTCTCCTTTATTCATGAATTCTCCGATTTATGACCCATAACTTTAGCTTTTAACCAAAATGACAAAATAAAGGGGCAAGTGAATAGTATTAGGAGTGATTTTTTAGGTTAAAAATATACTTAATGTTAAAAGTGAACAGTATCATGAGTGTTTCATTAAAACTCTATATTTTAAATACACAAAAATGCTATGAATCTAAATTGGCGAATAGTCAAACACAAGGTGTCCTTCATTCGGGACTTACCTGCATTTGTGGTTTTGTTTTATGGCCCTTGTATGTTTGTTGGTGCCTGTTTTATGACCCTTGTGTTTTGTCGGTGCTGACTGCATATCGGTTGATCCGGGCGATGAATTGGTGAGGCCCATGATGGTACGGTGAAGACGATTAGTGTCAACCAACATAGTCTAATTGGATCATCATGTGCTTTGCTTGAGCTTTTTTTTCTTCAAGTTTATCTCTTGTAACATTTTCTTTTTATTTGCTTTTTGGGTCAACTGTCCGAATCAAAATTAAGCAGTAAATAATGAAAGAGTCAGTTACAGAATCAACTATCTATTAGTTTACGATAAAGAAAACGAGCCCAAGGAAAAAAACTTATGTGAAGCTTATAAGAAAAAGAAAACCGAAATGAAAAAAGAAAAATCCTTATAATATTCGTCAAAACATGAAAATACGACCCAATATCCTTGGATAGCAGGTTATTCTTGACCGGAATGAGGAAAACCCGGAGCTCCGACCTCCAACAAACAAACAGACCCATATTGTCATTCAGCTGCACTCCCGAAGCTTTTCCCAGTTTATAGCTTTGCCCAGAAAAGCTCATCAAACTGGTCCATTTCTGAAAGAGATGAAGAAAATCAACCTGTTTGTTTCAATCCTTTTCTTTTTATACCTTCAACAAACACTCCAAGTCTCCTCCCTTACGCAGGCAAACCAGGTACTTCAATATATTTATATATATATATATATATGTATATTTATATATGCATATGATCCAGTTGTTTTACCTGTTTAGATGTTGGGTTTTTCTGGGTAGCTTCGATTTTCGATATTGGATTATGGTTTTTATAAAGTAATGATTTTTATCCGATCAAATTTTGGTTTCTGATAGAGAGGACTTTACAGAAAGTAGCAAAATACACCAATTGTGTTTGTGTTTATATAAAAAGGTTCGAAATTTCCATAGTTTGAACCCCATTCAACAGAACAAAGCAAAGGGTTTGATCAAAAGAGGCTGTAGAGCTTCACCCTAACTTCAATTTACCATTTATTCAAGTTTTAGAATGCACTCATGAAGACGTGAGTTAAGTCAGTTCGTTAGGGCAATGTGCTGGGGCCCGCACTAAGTTTGAATCCCCACCACCGTGAATTAGAATAGTTTAAAATAGTGTATTGTAAGAAAAATAAATGTCACAGTCTTGTGGTTATTAAAATCATCACAAGTTTAGTTGTCTCATATCACAAATGGTGCATAAAACCATCTTGCTCAATTTTGCTTCTTCTGTTAATTTAGTAGTGTATTTTGCTCTGTGGACCTTGCTAGCTAATGTTATTTTCTGCATTTTTTAACCCAGGATTTTGAAAAATCTGAATATTCAAGGTAATACAGCTGACGGCTCCTTTAATCGTTTAGATTGTTTTGAGTTTTGACAGCCTTCATTGGTTATATTGTTTGTATGATCAATTATGCAACTTGGAATATAGTATTTCTTTCTTTGGGTTGGTGTTATATGCTTAGTATGTGTTTCTTTATGTTAGAACTCTTGAACAAGAGCATGCTCATGAAGTACATTGTTCCAGAGAAAGAAGTAGGGCAGCATGGCAAATTATTGAGAAGGTATGGACAAAACATTGAGTGTTTTTACAAAATTACCATGCGTATATCGTAGTAGTGTACTAAAAGCCAGTTCTGATTTGTGTTTTGTAGTATTTGATGCCAGTTGTGGAACAAGAGCACTATGAGATTCCAAGTAACTGTCGACTTCATCCTGACAATGATCTATTTAGAGATCAGGAAGTGCACAAGGTTCAGTTGGATATAAATGAATGGCAGTGTGGATACTGTAAGAAAAGCTTCCGTGCTGAAATGTTTCTTGATCAACATTTTGACAACAGACACTACAATCTTCTGAATATAGTATGTGGGCTGTATTTCCGTGCTTTAATATGTTAGGACTTAGGAACACTTGGTCAATAACTGAAAGATGAATTTCATTTTCAGCTGCTCCTCTCTGTTATATTTATATTTAGTTCTTCTGATTTATAAACCCAAATTATCACTAATCAATTTTATCTGCAAATGAAAGAACTTTTCTTTTAAAAGCATTTGCATCTAGTCCATGTTTTTCAGTTTCATGTTGGTCTGGGGTTTCATAACCCCCGCTGTCCAAAAAATAATTACGTGTCTTTAAGGCTTGTAGCGTGATGCAATAAATTAGATCAGGAAATTATTTCTTAAAAATTGATGAAGAGGAATTACATGGCTTAAACCGCTTTACAAGATGGCATCGTTTAACACCGATAAAGAAACGTGTAAGTGATAATCTTTCCTTTCTTAAGGTCTGTATCTTGTTCTTTGGTAATCCTGGCAAGGGTAGTTAGCATCTGTAGTTGTTTCAAGGTCCGAAAAACTATTCTGTCTCTGCTTCAAGCATAACTTGCCACGTGGTCTATATAACTTGCAGGATACATCAAGACATGATTATAAACTTATTCGATCTCTGTCTTTTCTATTATATCTTCAATCGAATGTATGGTTTTTGTTTCCTCTAGATGGTTCGTTTTGCTCACTTTGAAAAAAAATTCATGAATGCAGAGTGGAAGCAAGTGCTTAGCTGATTTATGCGGAGCTTTGCATTGTGATGCTGTTATGAATACCAAGTCAAGCAAAACCAAATGCAATCCTGCTGCTGTTGCAAGGAATCACCACCTATGTGAGGTTGCTTTAATGCACTATAATTGTTCATATTCTTTCAATCTTATACATTACCTTGTTTAAATCCTTTTTTCCTTTTCCCTTTTATATTGCAGGGTCTTGCCAATAGCTGTTTTCCAATCAATCAAAGTCCTTCAGCACGCCGTCTTAATGGTATTTTTCTTTGTTTTCAACCAAAGCTCTACCACTTCTGCTCTAATGTTATTCGACTGCGTTTACCTCTTTTCTTGGGGTCGATCGTGTTAGTACTAATTCAGATAGGTTATAGTTTATTACTTATGCTTACATTTTGATATATTGGTAGAGTTTTTCTTGCACCAATTTTGTCACGCTCATACTTGCTTGGGGAAACGGAAACTTTTTCCTAGAGGAGGAAAGGTAAGGTTTCAGTCTCTTATCGCAGTAGATTTCACTATAAAGGATGAATCGTGCCGTAGTTTCAATCTCCGGGCTTATTCTCTATCGCAGTTTTGCCGCGATTGTCTGATTTTTGATATCGTATTTTTCTTTCTTTGAAGATGTTTGCGTCACGAAGAAATATGTTGTCACATCGTTTTGTTTTTGCAGAAGCATTCAAGTGTATTCTACATGGCTATCTCCATACTGACTTTGATGCTTCTCCCTATTTTCTATCTGATAGTTTATTTGCACCAAAGGTATCAATTTTTCGGACACTTGGAATTCGCGTTTGGATTCATTGCATGATTTTCCTAATTTGTTTGCAATTTGCAGTGAGATGAGGAAAGGAACCCAAGAGCTTAGGCGCATCTCGAGAGTTGGGCAGAAAACAAAACCCTCGTAGTAGCTGGTATTTTATATACAAGTTCATTTATAGACGGTTTGTACTACCATGAAAAATGTGAAGTAAATCACAAAATGCGACTCCAATTTCTAACTTTATATGTTTCATATATTTAAATTCAGGCACTTGAAGCTGTTGCAATGAACAGGTCAAGGATTTCAGGCGCAAACGTGTGAGACGTCACACAGAGGAGTATGTTGCACACAAATGATGCAAGAACGCCAAATTCTAGACCATCATCTTAGAACTTGCTCCAGACGCGACGTATCATTCCATTAATCAAAGGCTCTGGTGGATGATGAAAGTAGAATTAGGTGCAAACAATGTATTTCTTCGATAAACCTGTGTTATTTATCGTCGAAAGTTTGTTGTGATTCATCGTCAAACTTGTCATTCGGCCTCTGTGTGCGATGGTCCGTGTAACATTGATTTTCTAACAAACAAAGATTTTCTTAATTTATAAGAGAACAAGTACTTCGCTTCTCTTTGCGAATGATCTTTTATTACAACTGTTACGACGAGTCACCTTTAAATGATCTAATGATTAGTGCGTGGATGAATATGCTCAGCTGGTCGCTTATCATTTGAACGACGCATGTCCCGGGCACGATTCTCTGCTGTACCATTTTCTCCTCGGCTATGACAACGAAAGGTGCAAGAGTTTAATTGTCTCTACAGACGCTATGCTATATAGAAAATACGAAACATTCAGCTTCGGACGATGCCATGAAACTGCTACTTGAGTGTTTGTGTTTCACTCTACCACCAGATGCTGCAGGTGCATGGAATTGCACTTGACTTATGGAGCTACAACTGCAAATGCAAGCGATATCAATTCATTCGACAAAAGGAAACCGTCTGGATCACTAAGCCGAATGTAGGCAGGACTTCTTTCAGTCTCCTCCTTGTTTACTTGCAAGGCGTCAAATTCATCTGCAGCGATGGCCCTTCTCTGTTCATCCAAGAAAACCACATGCCCACTTTCAACATAAGGTTTATAGGCCTTGCAAAGAGAAAGAACGAGAGAGCTGCCATATGCTTCTCCGAAAGACTTCAAATCCAGACCTCTTGAAGTTCTAAGAGAGAGCATAACAACATCCGTGGCCATATCCTGTGCAGTACGATTATTTTCACAGCGATCCACCAATCCATTTTCCAAATTCTCCACATAACCCGTATACTCTTTCATCCTCTTTGGTCTCGAAAACCTCACACCATCGACATAGCTAGCAGAGCCGAGGCCAAATGCATAGAAAGGTTTGTTCTTCCAATAAGTGAGATTGTGTCTGCAGTGATATCCACTCTTGCAGTAACTGCTAATTTCGTAGTGGTTGTAAGCCGCATCTGAAAGCATCCTAGACGCCATCTTGTAAAACTCAGCTGACCGTGTTTCCGAAGGCAACGGGAACTCCCCCGGTGTGTACCTGCAAGCAAAAAGACTCCAACTTCAAGACCAAATTCATTCCGAAACTCAAACCACAGAATTCATCACTTGCACCATTACTTACAACAACCCGAATTTCGTGCCTTGTTCGACTTGCAAATCATAAACCGAAACATGGGTTGGACGAGCTTCAACCGTCAGCCTCAAGCTCTCCTCCCACATTTCCGGGGTCTGGTGAGGCAGAGAAGAGATAAGATCCACGCTCCAGTTCTCAACCCCACATTCCCCAACAATCTCCATAGCCTCGTAGACTTCCCTAAGACCATGAGCTCTCCCACAAGCTTTCAACAGCTCTTCCTGAAACGCCTGAACTCCCAATGACACCCTATTCACACCCAGCTCCATCATTTCCCTCATCTTCTTCGCATCGAAAGTCCCCGGGTCCATCTCCATCGACACCTCAGCCTCCAAACTCAACCCGAATTTCAACCTCAACGTCTCTAAAACGGAATTAACGAGCTTTGGCGGCACAAGAGACGGCGTGCCGCCGCCAAAAAACACCGTCTCCAGAGGCGGGTTGGTCTTATTTTCGACTTTCGTGGCGTTGATTTCTCGGCAGAGTAACTGGACGTAGTTTGTCATTCGCGGGTCGTCGTCCGTTTGGGTGGAAGCAGAGCCGAGGGCGACGATTGTGAAGTCGCAGTAGTGGCAGCGCTTCCGGCAGAAAGGGAGGTGGATGTAGGCGGAAGTGGGAAGCGGGAGAATGGTGGCGGGGGTTTTGGTTGAGGCATTTTGTCGAACAGTTGGCGCAGTGTGTGCGAAGCAGGTGAAGATAGTGCCCGGCGGTGGCTTCGGCGGCGATAGGCTTTTGGCGGGAAAGGTTGAGAAAATGGGAGCGAAGCTTGATTTAAGCATAATGGAGCCGCCTAGCCGGGATAATAAAACGAGGAGCGCGTGCAAATAGCTTTCTGCCTGTTATTGCGAAATTGGCAATGGCTTTACTGGTTTACTGGTCTATATGAAACACATGAACGACGACGTTTTATCGATGTGAAAAAAATATTATCGCGACATTGTGTAAAATGATTAGAAATCAAATCGCATGAACAGATAAAAATTTAATACATTGATGATCAAAGATTGATACAGGCAGCGATAAGATATCGAATCGGAAAATTTTAATACCAACGATATATCTGTGACATAATAAATTAAAATTGAAACATATAACGATCAAATATCAACTTAGAGAGTTTAGTTACAACTTAAAAAAGAGGTCTCATTATACCCATTTTGTGAATATCTCCGCCCATTTTGACCATCCTACATCTGAGTTGACTATTTTACGTTTCAAATAGAAGAACAACTTACATAGAATCAAATCATCACCAAAATCCCCACCCATATACTATTAAACCAAAACGCTGCATGATGGTAACTCATGTCCTCAAAAGTCGACCAAAACAGAAAATGTACGAAAAGACGTGAGCCACCCAGGTGAGTGAGTGGATGAATTGACAACAATCCAAAAATTGGGAGGACCAAAGTGAAAAGAATGGAATTAAAGAGTCGACCACAATGAGAGAGTAAATAGCAAACAAATTATGTATTGGAAGTTCAAAACACACAAACTGGTTATGCAATGGAAGTTGCAACTCGTTTAGGATCAAGTTACAAAACCGTACAAAACTAGTTTTTTTATCTCGTCACACAAGATGTTTTACCATGTAAGGTCCTTCGAGTTCGTAGCCTAATTTCCTATAGTAATGACGAGTTCCTACTCCAGAGATGACAGCAATCTTTTTCGACTTATGCTCCCTGCTAGCAATCCGCTCGCCCTCCTCCATCAAAAGGGTACCATAACCCTGTATGAATCAATTAGGGCATGGAACATGTTAGACAGAATACTCCTATGATTTATGGAGTTTGATGAGGCAGATTAACCCCAATATATTCATCTCAACACATGCGGTAACATAAAACAGTTGATGTACGAGCTACATTACCTGGTGTTGCAGCTTGTCAGAATCCCGCCCGTGAACTGGAACAGCAGTCCCATAAACATGGAGTTCACGAACTATAGAGCACTTCCCCATGAGTTCGGGACAAGTAGTATTGCGGCCACACTTTCTTAAACGCAGTAACCCAACAAGAATATCCTATTTACAATAAAAATATAACAAAATCATGTTAAGTGTCAGTATAGACAACCTGCCCACCGGGTAAAACTCAAGCCATAAGATTCTGTGCACAAATCACTATGCAAACCCGAGAAACAAGTTTTGGAAAGTGAGATCCATCTATATATGCTGAAGCGAAAATTAAATTAGATATTCTACTCAATATTACAATCATTATCTTCAGGTATTTATAGAAGGAATACCTGGCGAGTATCTTCATATGAAAGAAATGTTTCCCATCCTTCATTTGCCGTATAATCACGACGAACAAGCTCCACTTGGTCCGGCCTTATTTTGTGATGTATGTCCTAGAACCATCAAGAATGTTCAGTATAGTTTCATTCTAGGGGTAGGGGTGGAAGGTCAAATTTGAAGCCCCATTAGTATAAAACATATTCAAACAAGAATGACTACCCGCATACCTGAATTCCAGCCTCTCGTGTTCGAACATCACGGCACTTCAAGCCCAAGTCTTCCATCCGAGCCAAAGCTAACTCCCGCAGATTTCCTTTCTCAACCCCAGAAGTAACTAGAGGCATTGGAATGTCTCGCTGAACTCTATAAACACGTGTCCAAGGGGGCACCATAGCTAGGATCCTTGCCACAATGTCCACAAGTTGCTCAGGTGGGTAATTTCTATACCTGAAAAGAAGAAAGGAAACTGCATTTACTTCCCAAACAAACATAAACGTAATTAGAATTTTCCAATAAGTGTTGCATGGCTTCGTAAGACACACAATAGATTTCATAACACTTTATATTTGAAATCCTTGTAATACAGTTATGTAGAAAATTCATAATAAAACCATACCTGCCAGTTTTCCAAAGCTCATAAAGTCCAGTTCCACGGATTACAAGTGTTGGATAAATTTTAAGCCCATCTGCTCGGAACGAGGGGCTCTCGAAAAACTCCCGAAAACTCTCCATGTCTCTCTCTACTCCTACATTTGGAAGATCAGGCATCATGTGTGCAACCACCTAGAGAAATGCACAAAATTAATAGTGTGAAAACAAAAGTAAATCAACCTGAATGACTAAAATACACGGCATAAATGCATATTGTAAATAGATAGTCCTCAAGACTTTACATATTACAATTCATAAAACTATGGCCATACAAACACATAACTCTTCTTGAACTTAGAGAGAATTAATGGTAGCATAAACACCAACTAGATTTGGATAAAATATTCAGAGCACAACATAATTTGAAAAATATCTCCAAGCTGACGTATAATGACAGCTTAATCTTCTATCGGTACAGAGAAGTACAAAATGCAATTTTTCCCCCAATGAAGGTGAGTGAGTTTTAAGATAGGGAACTAGGCTGACCTTGAAACCAGCATCCTTTGCCAAGGAAAAACAATCAGCCACTGCTGCCACTGTATGACCTCTATTGGTGTCACGAGCCACATCCTCATACGTACTTTGGACGCCAATCTCTAGTCTTGTACAACCATAAGAAAGCATTTGTCTCAAGTGAGGTCCAAGGCAATAGTCTGGCCTCCTGCAACGCAAAAAGTTACAATCACCTCTGTTGACTTTCTGAACTGGCCCGATTAATTGATCAATAGATGGGAAGTTAAAAAATTACAGTCAACCTAGTTAAATGCAAGAATGAGAAATTAACGGCTTCAATAAAAAGACTCACGTTTCAATGGTCATTCCAATACATTTAGTAGCACCATGCTCAGAGTAGGCAACCGCCTCTTCAACATTGGCGGAAGTGTGTCCTGATAACGCGTCGTGCAGATTCCTAATAAAGTAATCACGGTAATCCGCTGGCAAAGACATGAACGTACCACCCATTAGGATGAACTCAACCTGAAAACACAAATCCATTACGAGTGAGAACCCGACACATATGCATATTTCTCTATCACGGCAATCTGCGCAGCCGAAAATAAATTCTTTAAGCTCTAAGAAACAGTCCGAACCTTGTCTACACTGTGACCCAATCTCTTCAGCTGATCTATCCTGCTTCTGGCCTGGACATATGGGTTGTATCTAAACACACAAAACCAAAGGTTTAACAACCAAATTAACTTCACTATTCCGATTTTAAACACCAACTCCTTCAACTAATCTCTTAATTACAAAGCTTTCACTTTCATGGTGAAACATCAATCAAGCTGAAAACTTTAAACTTCGAAACGAATCAATTAATAACATAAAACTTGAATTGCCTATCAACTGTTCGATAAAATGCGTCAATGAACTAAAGAAAGCCATACCTGGCCCGAATTGCGCGCATGCTGGTAGGCTCGTATCCAGTGTAAGACTGAGTGCTATACTCGAAGTCCGAATCGGGACCACCGGGGCAGTACACGCAAATATTCCCGGTGGTGGCGATGTGGGGGCACCGATGAGGCTTCGACATCACGGCCACGACGGCGATGCCCGAGGCCGTTCGGACCGGCTTGGCCCGGAGCTTGGGGAGAAGAGCCTCGCGGTCGGACTCGGGCAGAGCCGCGATCATTTCGACCAGCTTCGGCGCACGTGCGAGGCCGTACTTGCGGCACGCGGTGGTCTTGAGGGCGTTTAGGTCGACGTTTTGGCCTTTCCGGGAGAGGTCGACCATGGAGCTGACGATTTCGGCTATGGCTCGGACCCGGGCCTCTTCTTCGGATAGTCCATGCGCTTCGAATCCGCCCCGACCCGGCCGAGGTTGCTTTCTCTCGGATACTGGTAGCACTGCAGTCGCCATGGGAGAGAAAAGAAGGAAGCGAGGAAAAGAGGTTAAACTGGAACCGCCGTTTCTACGCTTCAGCTCGGGTTTATTAAGGTTTAACTAAAACCTTTTTGGTTTTTGGGTCATTTAAACAGACTCCAAGTAAATATTGAGTATTTATCAAATATATTCAAAAATTAACTTTTAATTTTAAAAATGTTACTTTTTTATAAATTTTTTTAAATATATTCAAAATTTTACTTAAATAAATACAAATACACTCAAATTTAACAATTAAATAAATTAAAGGCTTTTTAGCTACTGTCGCCTCAAGCTCATGTCCAACTTCACTTTCGCTTCTGCACTCCATCACCACAACCCTATCCCCTTCAACCCCTTCATCACCGACATTGAGTGCCGCCACGGTTACCGCAAGTGGGAGCAGCAGAATTTCAATCATGCCTTCTACGCCTTTCTTTTTTTTATTTTTTTTATACTAATATCATTTTTAGTTTTAAATATAAAAATAGTTTTTAAAGTTAATCCATATGTTGTTATATGATTGTATTTGTGAGACTCACGTGGCGCCACATTATCATACTAATAGAGTAATTGACAGATTTTTCATGAAAAAACTCAAATGATCATGATAGACAAATTCAAATAAAGACTAAAATGATTCACGATAGACAAATTCAAAAACACTATTATTGATTATCATTAATTATTAAGGATCATATTAAGGAGTTATGTCAATGTCACGAATCATTTTGGGTAAAAAGCCTTTAATTTATTTGATTGTTAAATTTGAGAGTATTTGTGTATATTTAAGTGGAATTTTTGATATATTTGAAATTTTTTATAAAAAGTAACATTTTTGAAATTAAAGGTTAATTTTTGGCTATATTTGATAAATGCTCATAAATATCTTATTATATATCCAAACACATCTTAATCATTTAATTTCATTTAAACAGAATCCAAGTAAAAATTCGTAAGGTAGTATTTCGCTGGGTATGCATGTTATAACGACGAAACAGTAATTTATATGGATAGATATTAATTTTTTTTATTTTTTAAATGTATTCCTAGAAGAGGATTGTGTTTTTTTTTTTTGTTTTTTTTTTAGTTTTTAAGAGGGACAAATAGTGGCAAACCACGGTTATCCATCCATTTCGGAGGCCGAGAAGACTCACAGAGACATTTCAGTCTCTCCTTGTCCACAAGTTTAGATTGCGTATTTTACTCATCTAAATATTGAAAGATTCATTGCCAAAATGCAAGACAACCAACCAAACTTTCACAGCAGGATAGGAAGAAGATTGTACATTCATCTAACTTCAATATAGGAACGGTGTATATTGTCGTTCTATCTCATGCATTCAAGTTAGTTTTCCTAAATGCTTTAGGGAATGAATGAAACGACGTAGTATCCGTGAGAACGACTCAATGACATATTGCATTTCATCACTTGGAAGCAACTTTTTCTCTTCATTAATTATAGGTGCACGAATTGAAACCTTAAAAATAATTTATGAAAACTTTAGGGTGTAAATTGAAGAACACACCCACTTCCAAGTGTAAAATGGAGTTAGCCCTTCTTTTTATTACAAACGCTCTATAAGCTAGATTAAGTCATAGGGTTTTAACCTCGGGAGACCATATTCATCAGGGCAAAGCTACCACATACATATACATATGTATTAAGATTTTATTTGATAAATGTGTTTCTTTTAACTCGTTATGTCATTTTGTAGAATCTATTGTTCATGCGCATGCGGTCCAATATCTTAATGCATAAGATTTTTGGGTTTCTACACATACGTCCAGGCTCAAAACTTTGTCATCCCCCTAAATTATTGTAATAGTTCCAAACTCTCTCCTCCCCCTAATAATAGTAAAAAATTATAAAAAAATCTGTTGTTTGTGTGAAGCTGCAAAGTTTGATCTTGGTTTTCTTATTTGCCTCTTTCAAAGTAAAAAAATGCTCAAAAGAGAGGGGATTCAAACTTGAGAAGTAAATCTTCATTGTAGTTTCTGAGGAGAAAATACAAATCGACAATTTCGAAAGAGAAGAAAAACAGTGATATTAACTAGCGGCGTGAACCTTACAAACAGAAAGCTGACATAATTTCGATCTTTTTGGTTGATAAAACCAATAAGCTTTAGTATTTCATGACATTGGAGTGGGGGATGATAATTGTCCCCTTGGATAGACTGGAAGGTAGCCCGATATTCTTCTTCGCCATGGATGTACTTTCCGCTGACTCTAGTGCTCGGGAAGCTTGGAGGGCCATCTCAGCGTGGAGTTGTAGGCATGCCATAGCCATCTACAACACGAAAAAAGTAAGTAAGCAACAAGTCATGGGAACACAGGTAAATTCAACAGACGTTGTGGCAATCAGAAACAATCATCGAAGATAAGAGAGCTGGCAATGAATGGAGAAAGGTTTCAGGGGGATGAATACAGTTGCTCCATTTCGAAACTTTTGCAATTTAAGAAATTTGACATCAGCAAATGCACCCTCCTCGATCAAAGTAAGAGTATAAAGTTAAAGAAATGGTTTTTGATAAAAATCACGGTGTCCTTAGACCATCTCCAATTTGAAGTGGAGGGGCTCAAAAACTTATAATCTTGCCCCCAAACCTTCTCCAATGCATGTATGGTCGTGTGCACGTTCAAAATTAGGGAGTATAACATGCCAACAGAGATGAAGATAACAGGACTGCATGATTTGCAAACCCTTGGGGAGCTCAAGGATTAGTTGCTTACCGTGTAGCACTCTCTATCACTCTCAGATTCAGCTACATGAAGGGCCCATGTGCGCACCCATTCAAGCCCGCTAGAAATTTCAACATTTCCTTCAACCAAAGAGGTTGCAACATAAGAGGGATGAAGTGATAGCAGTACGCACGAAGCTGCAAAAAGGGCAGCTTTTCTAACATAAGCTTCCTTGTGATGACATATCTCCCTGCGTGTAGTTAAAACCACAGTTTTAGTGACATAAAATACAGTTGAATGCATAAGTTCAATGAGAAATGTGCTGTTAAAAAACCATAACCTAATCATCATTTTATTCTCAGAATTTTTTTGCAGCCAAGTCAAAAGACCGTTTTAAATATGTTTGGAGACATAAGGTATGCGCCTCAAGGTCAATATAAAGGGTCTGGTAACATTTTGAAATGTTGTTTGCTGGTTTTGTTCTCTGTTCAGTACCTGGATCTTAGCATATCTAGAAAAGGGGCGGCGAGTACAGATGCTTCTGGATGCATGGCTGCACATTTCATACAAACTCCAAGCATATAGATGAGCTTCCCCAGGACGAGAAAGTCTCTATCAAGCAAGTCAACACCCTGCCTTTTCTTATCAAAGCCCTGCATGGCAGGGAGCATAAACGCTGCTGCATACACTGGAAATTTATTATGGGACCATTCTATTTGTGCTTCTTGCCAATCTGCTGATTTTAGGCTCCTCTGGCGCGTGTTTCCTCTCTTAATCTGACCAGGTTTTGAAGGAAGTTCCCTCTCATAACGATTTGTCCAATTCAGTAAAGATTTTGATTCTGAAATCTCTTTCCAGGGACCAGCTCCAGCGGGCCCTATGTCACTAGGCAAGAACCAAGCCTGGGTCTCTGATGTGGTTGATATGAGCGCCTTAGCCTGTTTAGGCTTTATAATTTTGGTATGAGCAAGCTCCTGAGCAGCCTCCGTCATGACATCAAGTATCATTATGCGTTGACTGACATCTATACTAGGAGAATACAGTAGTTTGTTTAATGTCTCCAGAGATTCCAATGGACATGTCACGAGCAAAGCAACCAACGCTCTTTGTCTCTTGTCTTCAGCTGAATCTTCCTCACCTTCTACAGCCAAGTCAGAACAACGAACCTGTACAAGAGTTCTCACAAGATCACTCGCTACGTGCTTAAGCTCATCAGGTGATGCTCGGACAAGTTTTTCAGCAACATTAAGAGCATTCTCCACCTGCAATATGAAAGTAAAATTAATGATCAAGGAGCCAGGGATAATATTCATCCCACTTGGGTAACTTACTACTGATTATTGTAAGAAGATCATCTGACTAAATTTTAAACCAATGAACTTGGTTTACTTACCCCATCAGCATCATCAGATTTCCGAAGTGCTGCAACTACATCAACCAACTGTGAAAATTTTCTTTTCAAATCTGTGTCATCATCCGACAAATCATATGGCTGTAAAGATGACTCACTTGAAACATCAGAACTCTCACTAGCATCGTCATTTTCATTGTCATCAGAGCCCGACTCGTAATTTAGTGTAACTGGATCGATGATCTCGTCTGGGTCAACCAACTTCGGTTCATATGATTTCCTATTTTTACTCTTCCCATTACTTGATATACCATCACTGGCTTTACGGGTTAAGTCCTTTTCCAGCACTGAGGTAGTAGATGCTTCAGGATTGTCTATTCCCTGTTGTATGCAATTTGAGGTTCCCGAAGTCACTTTCTCAGGGGTAGACAACCCAAATTCCCAGTCAATAGTGTCCCCAGTGCAGCTATCATCAAGGTATAGAGGATTTTTGGGGTCAATCACCTTGGAGAACACTAGAGCAACACTGCTGGCCATTTTCCGAACTAAATGGTTTGGGCTTTCCAGCCTACCTGTCAGCAAAGAATACAAGATATATAAAGATCACTAACATTGCAAGACAGTATACTGGCAGAGACAACGGTGAAGAATTTACAGCTCAGTCCTTTGAGAATTGAGTGCATCACATCCTTAGTCTCGTCTAGTTCCTCTTTAGACATCTTCTCCAGGGAAAGGCCTACAGCTGCAGATACATCTAATATTGCAAGATTAAGGGACAACAAATTCCAAAATAAGTACAATAAAACAATGGTAGTTTCTATAGAAAAGTTACAGGTATAAGTTGCAGGGATTTCATATTTATGTTGTAGGCTTGTAGCGTCTACAAGGTTTCCCAATGTAAAGGCTAGACGTAAAAATCATCAGGAGTTATTGCAGACTAATATCAGATGCCGGACAAAAACATGAAGGATACAAGTTTGCTGCTCCATTGAGGCTGATTGCACAAACTCCTTTTTTGACCATACTGTTACCAGA